CCAGCTGCGTCTGCGTTTGGAGCTGGCTGAGACAGAAGCACTTCATCCTTGAGTGTGCAGCCAGGGGCAGGGTGGTGACGGTGCCTGACGGCAGGGTCGTTCCAAAGTGAGGGGTCTGAGGACATAGCGATGTGCCAAGTCAGCTTGCATAAGATGAGTGAGCAAGGGAGTGCACCAAGAGGGCACGAAATGGTGGCTCTCGGGGAGGAAACCCTCACGTGGAATTGGGTTGTAACAGGTGAGCTGTAGGCATGCAGGTGCCACAAGGTCGTGCCCACGGTGCTCTGTGTGACGAAGGGAGCAGGGAAGTCTTTGCTGTGATCTGAGCTGTTCAGGCTGTAAGACGGAGAAAATGTTTGAAACAGGCTGCCCCAGTTACCCCAGAAGTAACCCCCTCTGCAGCCCCCCAGGCTCCCAGCAGGCCTGGCTCAGCAGAGCTGCACCCCAGCTCATCCGGCCCCTGGGTGCCCTGGTTCACCTGCAGACCCAACAAGGCCCTCCTCCCCTTTCAGGCTCTGCAGAAAGTCTCTGCTCTTGTCCCTCCCGTGGCTCTGGGTTTATCTGTCAGAGGCGGTCTGTCCTAATGTTCTCTGCACCACATCTCAGTGAAAACTAGGCTTCAGCCACGCATTATGGAGGGAAAAGTCACCCGTGTTAAGATCAAAGGATGCTTCATCTGCTTCTTCATGCGTGTCTTGTTCCGGCTCCCCTCTGGCTTCAGCCCGTGTGTGGATGAAGGAAACAGAGACCACATGTTTGATTTCTCTGTGTTGGACCTGCTGTTGAAGCTGCTGTCATGTTGGCCATGATTCATGGCGACTCTACGCACAGAGGAACCAAACATTGCCCAGCCAATGCCAGTCCTGTCGTCAGCTGCCGGGTGGGACCCTGGTGACCCCAGGGTTTCACTGGCTGGCCCTTGCCTGCAGAGCCCATTGTCAGCTGCCAGGTGGGACCCTAGTGACCCCAGGGTTTCACTGGCCGGCCCTGGCCTACACCAGTCCTGTAGTTAGCTGCTAGGTGGGACCCTGGTGACCCCAGGGTTTCACTGGCTATCCCTGGACTGCACCAGTCCTGTAGTTAGCTGCCGGGTGGGACCCTGGTGACCCCAGGTTTCACTGGCCAGCTTTGGGAAGCATAGCCTCAGGACTTTCTTCCCTGTCTCTCTCTTTCTGGAATCCCAGGTGAAACCCGTTCCCCATCACAGCAACACGTGCGCCTCCTCTGATGGATAGTGGCGACTGCGTGACGTGCCATGGCGGGAATTGAACCTGGGTTCCCCACGTGGGAAGTGAGAGCCTTCCACTGAGCCACCAGCCCTTGTGGTAGGCCTGGTGATTTTTAATGTGCGACTGAGTTGAAGACCACAAACACGCTGTGTGTGTCTCCTGTCGCCTCCTTCCACAGCATCCTGAGGCTCCCGTGGCAGCAGGGCTGCTCGGGAAAATGAAGGCGAGAACCTGCTACTTGGAGGTGATCCGTAAACAAAACCCCTCAGGCCCCACTGATTTCCTTCAAATGTCAGCCAACTGCCTTTTACCTTGAACTGGTCTGAAGACCCTTGACCATGTAGAGTAGGGACATTCTCTGTTCTTTAATGGGCTCGGTTTGTGAGAGAAAACAACTCCATCAAAGTTGTGTTTCCCTCCCAGACTGGACCGTCTCCCTCTAGATCAAGTTGCTGTTGAAGGTGGGCCCTGGGGAGGAGAGGCAGCGCCCAAAATGCATTCTCTGTTTCTGGCAGCGAACGCCCCCATTGTTAGTTCTCCACCGTCGAATTATCAGGAATTACAATGAGATTATCAGTACCTGAACGCTACTGTGCTGTTCCCTTTTCTTTTTTTTAAGGAAAGATGTGGAAGCTGTCCCTTTCTGGAGATGATGCCAATAACAGCATCTTACCCTCACTTAGCTTTGCAGGAAGTGCCAATAGGCCCCTGCTTTCCGCACACGGATGCACAGGTGTTAGACGATTCCATCTTCTTTTCCAAAACAAGGTAGAGCCCCCGGGGGTTGCAGACAGTTGATGCATCCGGCTGCCAACCAGAGGTAGGCGGTTCGAGTCCACCCAGAGGCACCTTGGAAGAAAGGCCTGGTGATGAGTTTCTGAAAACCCGGTGGGTGCAGCTCTCCTCCGACTGGCACAGAGCATAGCCCTCCTCCAACTGGCACGGAGCACAGCCCTCCTCCAACTCACATGGAGCACAGCCCTCCTCCGACTCACAGGGGAGCACAGCCCTCCTCCAACTCAGCGGAGCACAGCCCTCCTCCCACTGGCACGGAGCACAGCCCTCCTCCGACTCATGCGGAGCCTTGGCCTGAACCTTCATCCGGAGCTCTGGGCATGGCTGAGTGGTTCTGACAGCTCCAATGTGACCTTCCTGACCACAGCCTCCCCCTGCCTGCCCCCTTTTCTAGGACTCCAGGATCTGAGGTGCACTGGGTCTCACCTAGGGCCCTTGTTGGCCCTATGGCTCTGCACTGACGGTCCCCTCCCTGCAAGGCTTCTGTTCCAGTGTCAGCATCTGGTGGTGCTTTAAACAGTGACACTGGGGTCTCAGGTGGTGTTTTGGTGTCTCAAGAAATAGGGAATGTCTTTTTTCAGTTTCTGAGGGAACAGTGGGTGGGTCTCTGGGTGTTTGCTAAACCCCGGTCCTATTTTCCTTCATCTGGGACTGGAGTTATGGGGCTGTGCCCTTGACCTGAGCTCCAGGAGGGACCATGGGGGCACCTGGACCCACTGGACTGTGTGTATCTGAGCAGGTCCATTAAGAAGAACTACAGCTCCAGGGGTCGGAGCTTTTTTCTTTTTAAATCAATCGCTAAGCAGATGGACACAGACAGACAGAAACAGTTGTCTCTGAGTCCCTGGGCAGTCACACAGTTCACTTGATCAGCTGCTAACAGAAAGGTTGGCGGGTTGAGTCCACCCAGAAGACAGACCTGATGACGTGGTTCTGAACAGTCAGCCGTTGGCCTCCACAGGGCACCATCCTGCTCTGACATGAGTGGGATGGATGCCCTGAGTCAGTGGAGTTCACTTATTGCTGGTTGGCAGTGAGTGGATTTGAACTCGTGACAGTCCCCTGTGGTCAGAGCAGAACTGCTCCACAGGGTTTTCAAGGCTGTGACATTGTGGAAGCAGATCATTGGGCCTGCCTTTTGAGGTGCCTCTGGGTGAGTTTGAACCACCAACCTTTCGAGTAGACGTCGATGGCTTAACTGCTAGCCCCACCCAGGGAATCCAGTGAATTACTGGCCAGAACTCCAAACTCACTGCCATCAAGTCGATTCTGACTCATAGCGACCCCTGTTGGGTCTCCAAGGTTGTAAATCTTTATGGAAGTAGATAGCCTCCTCTTCCTTCCACGGAGCAGCTGGGGGGTTTGAACCGCTGACCTGGTTGGCATCCAGATTCCTTATCCACTAGTGAGTTACTGCTGTTCCATGAATCAGAGAAAACACCTTTGTGGGTAGATGACATTTCAATGGGCAAAAGCTTAGCACAGCTCTTGTCCTCATCCTAGTTTCTAGCACGAAGCTTTCCTGAGTGTTAGTTTGAGGTTCACCTTCCTCTTCATTGTTTTGTTCATTATGACAAGATGGAGGTCTGGACGGGCCACGTTGGGGTTGGAGAGTCGGGAGGCAGGAAACGGCCCTGAGTCCACGTTGTGAGGACAGGCATGGTCAGAGCCCAAGGTTCCACTGGGCAACCCCACTAGTAGTGAAGGCAAGGACTAGTAACCTGGGCACTGTTCCACGTGTGAAATGGCTGCTGGGGTGGTGACCCAGATGGGTTCCTTCAGACAGCGGCTCTACGGTTTGCAGCTGTGTCTGAGAACCCTGGATGCCCACTGGGCCACCTTGCCGTCTCTTCATGCTGCAGTGTGCTGGGTGTGCTGCACCTTGAGACATGTTTGTGGGAGTCAGGAAGCTTTTTCTTGAGCATAAGCCCATTCTTCACTCAGCCAGCACTTGTTCAAAACATGATGATTGAGTTCAAACCAGTGACATGGGTGGATTCTTGGAATGTACATGGAGTTGTGGGAGCTGCTTAAATCAGGAAAGAGTCTAAGCCGATTCTGGGCCCCCAGTGGGCATTCCTGACCCTTGTCACCTCTAACATGGTGGGGCACCATGCTGAACGTTGAAGCACATTGCAAATGCAAGAGCAGACTCTGCTGTTCAGCCTGTGAAGACAAAGAGGGGTGTGTGCTCCACGCCAGAAAGGCACTGTTTCCCGGCCAAGTTGTCCATCACGTTAAGAGATGTCGCCATCAAACAGCGACAGAGAATTGTCAAGGCACTTGAAACGTGCTGGGCTGACAGCTTAGAATTTTCTAAGAGATTCCCGTGATTTTGGCAGTAATAAAAAGAGCAGTGGCCTCCCTTGGTGTTTATTCCCTGCTAATTTAGTGGTCTTCAGGTGGTGGTGTGAGGTACCGTCAGTCGCTC